CGGTGCCCACTGCGCGCCGGGCTGTTTCCTCAGCTCCGTCCAAGTCTGTCACCCACGGTGCTTCCCACATCCCACAGCTTCAGGAAATCCAAAAAGCCTCAGCCCCAGCCTTCCTCCAGCTGCACATGCCTCCTCCCCGCCTTTCCCTGAAATACTGCTCCTGGCCAAGAGCTTCTCTCTGGCTGCCATCTTTTCAGCCCAGGGGAGAAAACCACCCTCACCTTCTTCCTCTCAGCTCCTCTCAGCTCTGAGAAATCCCCACGGAGCATCACCCTTCCCCAGGGTGCAGCAGCATGGGCAACGCTTGACCAACAGCGAGTGTCAGAGAGGGAGTTACTTGGTGGCACATTCTAAAGGAAGAAGACTTCTGACTCCGGCCGTGTACCCAAGTGACAAAGACTCCCAGACTGTAACGAAGCCTTAACAGGCAAAAAAAAAAAAATTCAGGACTGAAGCACTCCAGGGCCAAAGCGACGATTTTGCCATGGCGCAGCATATGTTGCACATCAGATCTCGCTGCGCCCGTGCAGCAGTGCCCATGCAGCAGTGCCCACATCACGAGGGAGCTGCGGCTCGGGATCTGTGTTGCCAAGGGCCCACCGCTGCCCTCCTGAAGCATCCCTCTCCCTCCTCCAGAGACACCCTGTTACTGCACCTCCGGCTGCCCCTGCTGCGAGCCCCGCTTGGCAGTGTCTGCCCCAGCACACACCTTCTCAGCATACTTGGCGTCTCCGACCATGGCTCCCTTGGCAGCACCCCTGGGAGGCAGCAGCAGACACCCCAAGGCACCCACAGCACATCACCCCGGGTTACAGAGAGCAAAAACTTGACTTCAGCCCCTCAGGAAGGACTTTCTGACCATCTGAGTGGAAGTCATTGCACTGGGTGTGCACAGCAAGGTGCTGGGGGGGGGCCTGCAGGGCAGCCTCTGTGACGAGAAAGCGGGGCTGCCCCATGCTGGACACAGCCAGCTCCAGCGAACCCATTGCAGGGCACAGCTGAGCCCCCCAGCCAAGATGGTGGCACCTCAGGGAAAGCATGTGAGGGAAAATGTAAGAGCGAGATCTGCAGACACCCAGGTCAGAGAAGAAGGAGGTGCTGCAGGTGCCGAAGCAGAGATTCCCCTGGAGGGGACCGTGGTGGAGCAGGGTATCCCCCTGCAGCCTGTGGAGAGACCACGGTGGAGAAGTTCATGAAGGACTGCAGCTCATGGAGGGGACTTGTGCTGGAGCAGGGGAACAGTGTGAGGAGGAAGGAGTGGCAGAGGAACTGTTATGGACTCGCCACAGCTCCCATTTCCCATCCCCTGCACAGCTCAAGAGGGAAAAGACAGAGCAGTTGGGAGTGAAGTGGTGCCTGAAAAAAAGGAAGGAGGGAAGGTGCTGTTTTGTCTTATTTTTTTTCACTATCCAATCTCTTTTAATTGGTTATAAATTAATTTTTGCCAAGTCAAGGCTGCTTTGTCTGTAACAGTAATTGGTAAGAGATCTCCCTGCCTTTATCTTGACCGATGAGCTTTTCTTTATCTTATTATCTACCCCTGACCTGCTGAGAAGAGGGAGCGAGAGCACGGCTGTGTGGATGGCTGGCAGCTGGCCACAGTCAGCCCAACACAAGCATAAATTGGACCGACCACAGGAGAGAAAGCAGAGAGAGGAGGACAAGAAGAGAGCTGAGTAACCCTGACACGGCAGTCCAGAGCTGGTGCTCATGATGCTTCTTGATGAATCGGGCCATTATCTGAGGATTGCCCCGGACACAGAGCACCCCTTCAACACGCGCTCATCATGAGGTTGAATTTGTGGATTTGGAAGTTAGTTATGTGCAAGCGCAAGGCTATCCCTGCCTCCTGCCCAGAGACAGCTTCTTAAGTAGGACAGGATCTTTCCTGAAGCAGTCCAGGGAAAGTCCACTGAAGGGAAGAACCATGAAAGAAGTCAGGAAAGGCACAGATCAGTAATCTGCACCATAACTGGAAAGACAGTGAAAATACATTGTTTTTTGAGGCTGCTAAGAAAGCTAGTACAAAATACTGGGGTGGGTTTTACTCATAACTTTTGCTAACCGGTGTATCTGTAGGCAGATGTAGCACTACTGCACTAAGGCACTCCTCTGCCCTTTTCACACAGGACTCCTTTAGCCTGGCTTCCAGCTCCACTGCTTAGGAATGCCAGGCAAGCACATAAACCACCTCTGCTCCACGGCTGAATGCAGCAGAAAATTTATTAATAGAAAAAGAAGAAACGCAAAAGGAAGATCCTCTCTGGACATAGCCCATGCAAAATGTAACTTGCCGTAACACAGCCCTGAAAGGCACTGCTAGCAAAATACGCTGGCATGTTACAGCATCCTCCCAACTTGTATAAAAGCTGCTTTATTGCTGATCTCAGTTTACCCTATTCCCAGGCATAACTGAATTGTGGTTTTTTTATGGGTCGTCTGGCCTCCCCAGTAAGTGTTCTGGGCCATCATTAAAGCTGGGTAAGGCAAAGCTCTCACTTCTTTCTTCTTTCTTTGGCAGAGCTTCTTTCTAGCCATTTATCAGCTGATCTGCAGGAGCTGCAGAATGATATGCAATCCCCTTCCTGAAGCAGTCCCATGGATAACCAGTTGCTGCTTCTTCCTCTTGGAGCCACCAGCAATGAATCAGGGGCTGGGGAGGCTGGACAGTATTACCGGCATTGCACTGACTCCCAAGACCCAACTGCCTCAGCTCCTCCAAGCCTCCCCTTTGCACCCCAAAAGCAACATTCAGAAGAAAATGAACTCATATACAAAACCCACTTGCAAACTTCAGATCATGAAGAAGTTTTCGGGTGAAAAAACCCCAATCCAAACTCAGAACGACAGTCCTTGTAAGCAAAACTGCTTCCTTCCAGTTCCTCCAGCTTCACCTGCTTCCCATGCTTGACACAGCAGAAAATCCCATATGAAGCCGATCTATTCATACCCAGGAACTGCTCATGTTACTAATGTGCATAATTTGGATGCAAAAAATCATCAAGACATTAGTGCATTCTTGAACTATATCCTGTCACATTCCTCGCAAGAAGCACAGAAAAAAAGAATCAACTTTTACGCAAAAAACTGAGTTCTTTTTACCTGTGCTGCATGTAGTGAGCACGGAGTACTAAGTTTGGATGGGAAGTCAGAGTGACCCAATTTGTCTGTCAGGATCCTCTGGTAACGTGGCAAGGAAAAAGGAGTTATCAATAAAAACATTCAGAAAGTTGTGGTTAAGGTAAGAACAGTGCAGGTCTCTGCTTCTGTGGCTGCAGAAGGACTAGTCCATGCACACGGAACAGCGTCAACAGGGAGAAGACCAGCTTAAAGAAAATCAAAGGAAGAGTGACGTGGAACTGGTGGTGAAATAAAGGACGGAAACGGAAACTCTAATGAGAAGCGACTTGTTCATGACTGGATGAGAGAAGGAAGGCAGCAAATTTCAGAGAAATATGTTTCAATTCATGACCCAGTTACAGCACATTTCTCTTGCCTGTGTCCTTCCAGCCCGCTGTTGGTGGCTCTTTAGCCATCTCCACATTGTACAATTTACAGATAACATGCAGCAATGAGCCTTCGATCAGGGGGGAGGACACCAGCGCTATTTGCTTTCCTCTGCACCTGCTCTGCAACTGAGGAAGAGCAACAGGCCACAGCTCATCTGACAGTTCATTGCTTCAGAACCCATCAGCCCCAAACTCCGTATTATTTTGGGGATATTCTTAAAGTCTACAACCAGCAGGGTGATGTAGAAGTAATTGCAGAAGTAATTGCTGTGCAAGCCTACATAGTGCCAGGGGGTTGCTAACAGATCTATAATCATCTTTCAGAGTGTCAAAAACAAATTTCTGGATCACAGCTGCCTCTGCCACCTCGATGCTTTGCAGCTCACAAACCAGAGGAAGCGCTTGCTGTAGCTCTGGAAAGGCAGTTTTATCATGCAAACAGTCTGGACTCTTTTCGGGCCACCTCTGTCTTCATTGCACCCAAGTCCCAACCTCTGCACTTCTACAGAAATGGTGGGAGAAGATGCAAGGGAAAAATAGCATAAAGAAAAAACAGCCTCCATTCACGCTGTTACGTTCAAGAGTTCCAAAGCTATTTAATTGCTACTCACTGTCACAGCTCTGGAAAAGATCCTGTCTTTGATTCACTATCTACATCTCTTGGCAGCAGCTTCTACAGCAGCACAAGGCAGAAACAAAGAAGCTGCATTTCAGATCTGCCCATTGTAGAGATACAAAGTTTGGACCTAGATCCAAATTTCTGCCTGCAAAATCATGGCACTAAGCCCACTGGCTGGTGTAATTTAGGATTAAAACTCCTAGGTTTGTCCTCCTCTAGAGAATATAAAATGTAACTACTTAGAGGCTGAACAAATGGTCTGAGCAGAGATTTCACAATAAGTATGTGATGATTAGAGACCTGGGAGTGCTGGTGGACAACAAGCTGACCATGAGCCAGCAGTGTGCCCTGGTTGCCAAGAAGGCCAATGGGATCCTGGGGTGCATCAAGAGGAGTGTGGCCAGCAGGTCGAGGGAGGTTCTTCTCCCCCTCTACACTGCCCTAGTGAGGCCTCATCTGGAGTACTGTGTCCAGTTCTGGGCTCCCCAGTTCAAGAAAGATGAAGAGCTACTGGAGAGAGTCCAGC